AATATAGTCGTCTTTCGAATTTTTACGGAACAATAAATATTAGCGGAATTATTGTGTTTTGTAACGCACCACTCAGAAATTTGCCAGAAGATATGGGGAAAATTAAGGACGGATTTTGAGGGATTCACGGGTTCGTAGGCATTCCACAGATGCCTCAATAAAAAAAACTCATGATTCCAGAGTTTTTGGAGAGACCTCTACTATGAGCCTCAAAGAACCAGAGAAGGATTTTATTACTGAATCAAGCAGTCACAGAGAACCTTTTCGGTAGGAGGAATGAGGTGGTCTTGCTCACAACGAACACTCCCGTAATGGGGTGCGAGCTTCGGAGCATGAAGATAAACAGCATCCAGACCCAGGACACCAATCGAGATACAACAGCAGTGTCCACACATCCTCAGTAACTGTGAAGAACAAAGAATGGAGCATTCAGCGTTAATCATTCCCTCTTCAACGTGTCCTAGTTTCAACAAAAATAGTGTAATGACACCTGAATCTGGCTTTTATAATGAATTGCGGGTATCAGTCGATGTAGCGATTGCGTATTTAGCAGGCTACTCTGGATTGGATCCCCTAACTCATCTCGTGGCAACCGGAGTCACTCGCTCGTCTCCTATTCCATCCTGTGAATTGCGAAACAATGCTAAATTATGTATTTCGGTATTTCTACAGAGTATTATTTAACTTTATCACCTGAAACACAGCAGTGTCGAGTTTTGCGATTTCCAGTCCTCGCGGAGAGCAAGCCTAGCTTGAGCTTCAGCTATCATATATAGATTGTGCTAAGATCTCAACAGAGTTCCCATTTCTGAATGTTCCGAAGGAATTTCTGCGAATATCGCATTCAAAAATGAAACGAACTCACTGCTGGTGATATTTCAATAGCTATATTCTCTGCAACAAGTAGTAAGGTGAAATTTATCAGCTGCCTATAAGACACTTCTTCCAAGTTCACGGCCTGTTTACATAGCGCGCTATGATTGAGAATAGGATAAAGCAATCAAAAGAGTTACTTGGTCACCGGAACTTCGTCAACAATCACTGATTCTCGCCACATCGTTGGCTAATCTGAGGCATTTAGGCTTGGTTAATTTCTGTCACTGGACTTAGAAGTCGTTCTTCCCGTATGTTGCTAAGTATTCTCCTGCTTTCACTCTTCATTGTCTTCACGAATGGGCTCAGTATCTGTTCGAAATACACCACTTCATTTGGCCAAGCGATGTCTGTCCTCACAGATCCCGCTTGCAGTGCGTTTTGCCGAGTCAGGGTAAGCATCAATTGTTACCCGTTAATGATTTTGTGTACGAAAATTGATTCGTTGTCTAGCCATGTGAGTATGTTGTTTGTGATCAAAGAAGAACATGAGCTGGGCAAAAAAAAATGAAATTGCGAACAAAAACCGCTCTTAGGTAGCCCATCCTGGAGACAGGTGGTAGAAGAAACGGCTGAGTCAAATGTGCTCATTAAACGAGGCCCATAGTGGATGGCCCAAGTTGTAAAGCTTTAGGCCGATGCCATACTACTTTGCGCATCGAGCTAATCCCTAACGTTCGATGTCGCCTTGTGATAAGCGAGTCGAGTCAAGCGAGCGAGCAGCAAAGTCCGACATGGTCCTCAAAGATATTGAAATTAAGCGCGTCCACTTCTATGCGTTTAACAAGTTTACACGTGCTATTTTCACCCGATTATTTATAACAGTAGGGCGGAAGTGGCACGCTTACCACGCGAGCGGTCCGGGGATCAAATCCTGGGTCGTGAGTCGCCCGGGCCAACCAAGCCTTCCATCCCTCCGGGGTCGGTTAATTGGTACCAGACTTGTCTGGGAGGATAAAAACACTGACTTGTACATCGGCTGGCCCCCGCAAGTCATTGTATAGGCCACATCGCATTCAAACGCCACTACGAATGTACAAATGGAAGTAGAATGCGTGCCGCATCCCAAAAAGGGATTGATCAACGGCAAATGCTTTATCCTTTATCCTTTATTCATAACAGTTTTACGACGGTAATTCAAAGTGCTCATGATCTTCTCAGTTATTCAAATTTTTATCAAAATGAGGTCAATTCCTCGTTCTTGTTGTTATTAGGTCGTGAAGAAAGTTCTTGCGCTTTTCGGTGTTTCGTTTTTGAACGCTTTATTTTGTTACGAATTCAAGCAAGCTGCCAATGAGCTGTATGTGGTTTTGAAGAGCTTTTCTTGTTCTATCTAACAGCTAGGCTAGCTATGTTCCTTATTATTTAGTTGTCATTTTTTGAAGCCTTGAATACGGCATACTCCAAGAGCAAATTTGCATGATTTCCTTTTTCTAGCTCAAAGCAGGCCAGTATGGAGAGGGAGCAGGTCAAGATATTATACGCACTTGGCTGAGATTCGCAATAAATATGGTCTGAAGCAATTGTTCAAAAAGCTTTTGTAGAATAGTGAAGAGCGCCAAAGAGTTATTATGATCGGTCGAGATGGACATACAATCCCACATTGCGAATGTTTCACAAGAATGCTGGGTTGTGAACAAAACTTTCGCCCCAGGCGGGACTAGAACCCGCACCTCTCGCTTTCCGGGCAAGTGCGCTACCAGTTACGCTACCGGGGCACCATTTCATTCCAACTCAGCTTTTCATGGTATACGTACCATAGCTTTCAGCACTCACACGTCTAACGTGTTGAGCCGGTTAGCCGATATCGGCAATGACCGCGAGGCTGAAAGCTTTAGCAATGAATTTTGACTTGTTTTGTTTGTTAACTGCTGTTTTAACGCCGCAGTTCGCGTTGCGAATGTTTCACAAGAATGCTGGGTTGTGAACAAAACTTTCGCCCCAGGCGGGACTAGAACCCGCACCTCTCGCTTTCCGGGCAAGTGCGCTACCAGTTACGCTACCGGGGCACCATTTCATTCCAACTCAGCTTTTCATGGTATACGTACCATAGCTTTCAGCACTCACATACTAACGTATAAGCTAGTACGTATACCATGAAATAAAACTATTTTTTTCTCGCCAGTGGCAATGTCATTATCACATTGCACCGACGACACACATTTTATCGCGAACGTTCTGTTGAAGCACGTCTGACAGAACTAAAGAGGGTCCTCCTGATGATCGCACTGCATTGGTTCTTTTTACGGAAGCAGCTGAAAGTCCTAAAAATTCAAATGAGCGTGCCGCTTACAGTATGGGTCGGCACCATTTTTGGAGTGCTCGTGCTTTCACAAGCTGTTCTCCATGAAAACGACCTGACTTTTTGACCATTTGCGACGCACGACAAAGAAAAGATTCTTCGCTACAGAATACGAACCTTTTGTGAAGTGATCAACCGCGATCAGGCTCTACAAACTTTGCAAAAGTGAAACTTCAATGAAGGAAGGTACTTAAGGGAAGATGAAGTCGAAGTCCATTTAAATGGGACAACGACCAGGTATCGTTCGGACGCTGAATCTCGAATCTTCTTCCCAAATCTGCCAAACGATTCGCTGAACGGAGTTACGGAGGTTTTTCGTTCCCTCACACAGTTTAAGACAGTGGGGAATCGGCCTCAGCAGCAGCGGCTTGTGAACGAAGCAGTGATCTACTTAGATCGGGTGCTGGTGGCCTAGGGTTAAGGTGGTGGGCTTGGGATGTCGGGGTCAGTGGTTTGGATCCGCCGCGTGTTTTCCCTTTGCATTTGGGCTGCCTATTTGGCATAGGACACATTATTCCTATCAATCATGTTCATCCCTACTGCTTTGGAATGAGTCTGAGGTCGATAACTTCGAAATTTTTCCTAACTTGCATGACACTACATAGGTTAAGGCGGACCAGTATACGGAGCACGCGCTTCAGCCGTTTTTGAGTGAACGAATGTGAGATCTGTGTTCAAGTAGTCCAATAACTCCTGGGGCCAATTTCTAGAAAAATTCGAGATTTTGAATTAACTTCAAAAAAAGTGGGCGAGTCACTCATTGATGCTACATATCCATAGCCGGTAGTTCCAGGGTTGACCTATTTTGGACGACGGCGAACCCTTTAAATTTGAAAATAATAAAATGTGGGTGTTGAAATCATGCGAACAGAAAACCAGACTGCTTTACACTCTTCAGAAACAAAAAAAGCTTATATCGTCTCAATCTATATAGCTTCCGAGATAGCCTGTTGATGAAATGAATAGAACCCGACCGTCATGCGAAATTTGTCGAATCTCCCAATTGCTAAACTTGTCCCAGGGTATTAATCTCCGGAACACGAATATCACACTTGTTTGCTGCAAAAACGTCTGCCAAGAGTTCTGTGGGCTCCATGTGCAGTCTTTAGTAAGTACCGCCGAAACTGATTAGAAACTCCTCGCAAAGTCTTTGCACGGGTAACTACAGGCAAGCATTGATCGAGTAAGGTAGTTGGGAGCCTTTTCATCATTTTGCAGCGAAGGCAAAAAAGAGAACCCGCCAGGGAATCGATCCTACGACGTCTCGCACGTGAACCCGGACTACTACCGCTGCACTACTTTCCTTCATAACTCCATTCAGAAAATCGTTTGGCAGATTTGAAAGCAGATTCGAGATCAGCGTCCAAAAACGCATCCACCGGTGTAGGTCTCTTAACATATGCCCACTTCGACCAACCATCCGTTCCTGGTAAGACTTACATAGTCAGCGCTGTCTTGCTCCTCAAGAACCAGTGAAGTCACAATGGAAAAAACTGTTATCAATGTTCACCATAATCCCTAGGATTCTCGCCACTATGCCGATATCTCAAATAACGGAATATGCCGTTCCTCGACAGTACAATAGCTGAACGCACATCGCGCAATTAACCTTGCAGAAGTTGAACCAGCTGAGCCACAAATCAATGCTCATTTCTTCTTATTTGGCAGTCCTTCGGCCTATAACGTGTCACTTTCTCGATTACCTGGATAGCTTCTCTAAAGAGTCAAAAACCCAACATGATGCGGAAACGACCTCTCCGGTTCATCGTCTCTAGAGCTCCAGTATTCTGCACTACCGGCTGATTCAACGCAGCTATTATTGGCAGAGGTTTGTGGATTCTAACAGTCTTTACTCCAATCAAAAAGGTTTCGAATGAGCCGAGATACAGGCATTTGAAAATCAAGGTCGAAAAGCGCAAGAACTTTCTTCACGACCTAATATCTCCACAAAGCAGAGGTTTAGGAAACCAAATGTCGATTAATGTGAAGGCCATGATTTCCTGCACGATGCCTCGAATTCTAGCAGTATTGTTTTAATAGATCAACTCCTTCGCTGGTTACTCTTTTGACTAGCACTTGTTCAGAACTGCGGTGCAGGTCGGTGTCGAAACGTCTACAAGCATTACGGAGATCGGGAAGACCGGTACGAATGTGTGTGCGACAATTGCCAGAATCCTCGCAATGTCTACGGTAACAAGAAGTAGTAAAAGAAGAAAATTCACCCAGTTGTGATATATCGTATCATGTACAAATAAAGAAATGTGATATTCAGGTGTTATATGCCGTCCAACTTTTTTTATGTTCCAACAGCTTTTTTTATTTCCACTTGCCGCGATGCCAGCCTGTTATTCCACATGGCGACAAGATGATCCGGATCACGATTTCGAGCAATCGACTTAAAAGCAAAGTAAATATCGGTCGAGGATTCCTCAACGGCACGTCGAGGATTTTCTCACTTACGTTCTCTCGCGCGGACATTCACACTCGCCATGCGCGAGCCGTCTGTGCTCTCCGCGCGGATGTTCACTCTCGGCACTACTCTCGCACAGTAGAGAGCTATGGTCGAGGATTTCCTCGACCGTTATTCACCCTGCTTGAGAGGGATGCGCTCCAACGACCTCAACCTCAACCTGCAAAAAGGTTGCGGCCCTTATTCAATGCTTTAGGAGCCTCAATCCGCGATGTTCGGTAAGAATTATGTCTATCAAACATGCTCAGCTCTATCAAACATGCTCATCATGTCTTCGCGACTCAGAATTCAGTGGTACGTGTACGTGTCTCGGTAATCCACGTTGAACTCTTCCACTGCTAAGGTATTCTTGCATGAAATTTTGTCGAAGGAAGATTCACGAGAACGTAGCGAGAGCTCCATTATTCCGCTGCTATTGCTTTTTCAATAAAGGAGCCGAACCTTTCAGCGGATGTCGACGAGTTCAGAACTTGAGCGAAGATCATGCACGATGAGTCATCTACATCTAATCGTCCGTAAAGGGATTACTCACGGAAAACTGTTCCTACCCATCTGCAAGACTGCCTCTGCCACGGTGGGTGGGACCGGAAGTGCTTTTGTGACGAAGTGCATGGCAGGTGCGGAGCCACATGTAAGCGTAAGTTCAGTTCCACTGAAGCTCTGGCATGGAACCCGTTCACCTTTACGCTTCCAACAAGTTTCCACGTGTTCACTCCACACCAACAGTTGTAACAGTTTTACAGCAGAAATTCAGTCTTCTTATAGCCTCAACGGGTGCTTGGAATAATATCAAAGCCAACAGCTATTTTTTGTACTTTTTGCTATCCTCCTCCAAGCAACGGGGCTAAAGTACCAATTTCTGGTGAAGCCAGAAGCGAGGATACTCAATACTTATTACACGCACCATAGTGGGGACACTGAAGTGTAGGAAAAAATCAAAATTTGCTGTTACACCTCCGCGTCCTCCCCTTCGTTCCCGCTCAACACTCGCCCCACTTCGGGAAGGAGTTGGAAGTGTGTCAAGTTGAACCATGTCCCGGCTCTAAAACACCATGAACCATTAGAGGGTGAGGAGGGGATGAAGCTAAACTTACGAGTCAGGATCGAATTGATGTGGTGATTCCACTCAAATATGAGTGTAGGGTGGGAGGTGGACTAAATGTGGAGAAAAAGAAAGAAAATCCTGAATACACAGGAAATACGAGCCTTTTGCTCTACGCTGCGGAGAAGTTCAAAAGGCAGGCAGGGAGATGAGAGATAATGTGAGCGGTAGAGAAGTCCGAGAAGAGAGAGCATAGCAGATCAACGTGGCGACGCAGACAAGATATCGAACGGTGGGCGGACCATGTTAAGTTTGGTGGAGTCTGTTAGAAGTCCATGGCGCCTAGGGTCCTAGTGACGCGTTTCGATGTAGAAAGGTGGCGCTACCTTTGCACTTGCGTACCCAGCACTTCTAGCCATGGTAAGGGCTTCTTAGGTGGGTCTGAGCCCGAACTTTGCTTTTAAGGTCGGTATAGGGAGACGTGAGGGAAAGGGTCATATCCCTACTAGGAGCGAATGAGGAGAGGGAGGGGGAGAGGGGTCATATAACCAAAACTCTCCTATATATAGTTCCCGCTGGCCACGGGTTCTTTGATCCGAGCCACAGTCCATCTTATAGAATTAACGGCTAATGGTGATTCTTTTTTTGCTGCCACGAGAGTGCCACAGATACTGAATTCCCTCTGATTGTGTACAAAGTGTGGAAGGGTGCACAAAAACGTGAAGTCGCCTGGTAATGGAAGTGTCCCATCAGGAAAAAGTTCAGGGCAAGTTCAAAACGGCGTCACTGTAGCGAAAATGTGACGAGCTCTTTTTTACACACTCTACTGACCAAAGATTACTGTACACGTATTGAAAAATCATTTGAAATGTCACGTTCAAGGCTCGTCAACAACGTTATCAGTTTCTTTTGTTCCCCGAAGTTAATCTTTGCATGTAGTACAAACATCGGGTTTTTTTCGTCCGTCGCCAAACAATCAATTCGTTGAAATAGTCCCAACAAAAAACTGCTGGCATGCATCATCACGGAAACGGAGTTTTAGTGTAAATAACTACTCGTGTCCCGAGCGAATTACCACCTCGAGACGGCGCCTTTACGTCCGGCATCATTACTCTGATCTATACCTTCGAAGCTCTTGCTCTGCGAATAAAGCATCCTCCTAGTGGTGTTTGGGCATTTTCTGGCCAACAAACCCTCACGAATCTGGCAAACACCAAGATGCTAGATCTGGATCTTCATCGTCAATAATTTGGGAGCGATAATCCAAAGCTAAAGGTGCTAGTCGGGACCGAAATGGTGTGTTGTTTTGTTTGAAAATTAAACCATAAATGAGGAACTTCAGTGAAGAGAAAAAGCAAAAGAGCCATAGAAAACATTGAGATTCACCTGAACGGCCGCGGTGAGGGAGAGACACAGCGCTACAAGGAAGGGTAGAACTCGAGAGAGCACTTCGTACGCGAGAGGGCGCAGACATCACGTTCACTGCCATTGACAAGAGTGGCAACGGTCGCAGCGGTCATTCGAAGGCATTAGCTCACTTGTTCCGTACTCTCGAGTAGTGACTGTACCACTACCCATATGATTAGGGTCCTACAATCTAACTCAATGAGATTCCTTCTGCGAACCAAGTTGCGACCCGCACTTTAAGTCAAGTGATGGAATTGCAAAAAGTTTTAAGCAGGATTGACCTGTTTGAGGTTGCCAATTTCAGATGCTAGATATTCCATTGTGAGCAAGCAGCTTGTGTATCTTTCTTGAAATGCGAATTCTACACCTTTCGGATTGCCCAGGGTTGAATGTAGTGCTCCTCTTCCGCACTTGGTATTCAGCTGCTATCCCTCCTACAAACTGCAGTTTCGGAGCAGTGGGTAGAGGAAACTCTCCGATTGAACAAGTTCCTTCAGACTTATGACAATAGCCATAGTTGTACCCTTCTGCTATTGGACTGCATTAAGGGTCAGCATGCTGGGTACGGTGCTCTGTAACAATGTCATTTTATCGTAAACGTTTATTATGTACAACTCTTGGAAAAATGATAGAGAACCGTAATCAGTATAAACGTGCATAAGGCCAGAAATCGAACAGATTCATGGACAGATCGTTTTGATGAGGGACGTCATGTAGGCCCTGATCAGCATAAACAACAAAGGGACTGGTCTGCAGGGCTCATTCACCTTCCTGAAGCATTCACGACAGTGGCTCCGTAGTCGATTATCGTTCCAGTTTTGCTGCCACTGTAGTCAACCTTCTTTCCATATTTCGTGAAGAACGTCACCTGACATTTCGTCTTCTTTCCTGTTCGCTGAAAAGGTGCTTTAAATATCTTCATTTTTTTAATATTATACACCCTGTAGATAAGTAAGGTTCGTGTAACGCAGGGCTCATAGCAGCGTTAAATATAGGACGGTGTGAAATCGGTCCAACCGGGAGCGGAGTCCCATCCAGTGTACCGTCCCTTCCGAGTCCGGAAGTGCTACCGGAATTTTACGGGAGGAAAAAGCGCTGTAACGTACATCGCCTGACTCCCTTCCGAACGAGTAGTTTTGTTAGCCAAATCACATCTAGATTTCATTGTGATTTTGACCGAAACTCGAGTGCACGGCGCATCGATAAGCGGGCCTATCAATGCTATTTGTGTTTTGCTCCATTTACATTACTGTTTTTCATAATCCAACCTAGTGTGAAAGAATGGCACACCACCAATGACTATTATACTGCAGGGTGAAAATCGCTTGAGGAAACGACAACGGCTCGTCGAGGATTTCTTTCACGCTCTCCCACGCGGATGCTCACTCTCGCCACCCGCGAGCCGTCTGTGCTCTCCGCGCATGCATTCACTCTCGACACTACTCTCGCACAGTAGAGCCATGGTCGAGGAATTCCTCGACCGTTATTCACCCTGATATACATATTGGGCTATACTGCCATAATAAACGCGTAAATCTCTACAAATGTGGTCTCGAATGGAGCACTATTAAGTTGCACCACAGGTATGCATATTTCAAAAGCTGCTAGTCTCACAGTGGCCTGTGCTGTTCTTCTGGTTCACTTGTGCTTGCTGAGCTCACGGAGCTTGTAAAAAAGGTGGAATACTTAGAGATGAGACTTCTGCGTGTTTAGCGGTTCCTGATGTGAGATTCTAGGCTGCTAGTCAAACTACTTTTTACTCCGAGTGCAAATTTGCCATCAAATTCTTGACCCTAGCAACAACATAGGTCGCCTTTTCGTTGAACATAAGGCAGAAGTGTGTATTAGGGTCCAATACGGTCTACGCATATTTTACACAACTCCAATCAACCGCGCATCGCGCAGATCGCGTG